GGTCACTATGACCTATTTTTGGATACTTAAATTAACCATAAAATGTCAAAAGTAGGTCACCGTGACATACTTTTTGGTTGACATTTTCTAAAGACCCAAGATGCATCAACTGACAAAGTTTGATGATTCTAAGCCATAACACACGATGAAGGACAAAAACCGATAGCAACAGGTGACCTGAGTTGACTCAGGTGACCTAAAACTTCAAAAAGTAGGTCACAGTGACCTACTTTTAAGTTGACATTGTTGGAGGACCCAAGATGCATCAACTGACAAAGCTTCATGATCATAGGCCCTAAAGTGTCAAAAATATGGCTCCAAATCAATTTGAAAACGAAAGCCTGTTGAATTTAAAAAGTAGGTCACCATCACCTACTTTTGTGTTGACATGATGTGAAGTCCTAAGATGCATCAACTTACAAAATTTGATGATCCTAGTCTTTATAGTAAGCAAAATATAAACATTTTTTAGTGTAAATTTTGGTCAACTTTGAAGTGACCTTGAGACCACGCCTATTGCTCCAGGGTCATGCATTTAACATATTATTAACTTCAATATATCCAGACCCTTGTATGTAAGTTTGGTGAAAATCTGCCTGGTGGTTCTGGAGAAGATATTTTAGCAACCTGTACTTTTGGTTTTATTTTCCTGATTATCTCCCCATGTTTTAGGGTTGTACCCCTATGGGCCAAGGATACCCTGTGACAAATATGACAATGATTAGCCAAGGAGTTCTTGAGTTATGGTCCATATTCTTAAAAGTTAATGCACACCGCACAAATGGCCATAGCATTAGCTCTTTGAGCCTATGGCTCAGAAGAGCTAATGAGAATACCAAAATAACTGCCCCCTTTTTACAATTTTTCAAGTGTCTGTTAAAAACATTTTAATGCAAAGAGGGGCATTTTGAATCTTTCCACATTTGTGCAATGATATCATCAGATAATTTTAAGTTGAGAGTTAATTTTTATATAAAAGATAAAAGTTTATCCATATAAATAATTTTTAAGCACCGTTATAAAGGTATGACATTTTTCTGGTTCAAAATACTGCTTGTCCGATGCATGGTAAACTATGTCTGATCTATGGTGAATTATATATGTCATTAAAATAACTAGAAATATGTCCATAGGACATGAATGCCCGCCAAGGTTATATCAGTAATGCAACATGAAAATTTCGAATCTGTGTATGAAATTTCAGAATATCTTGAATAGTGATGCAGTTGAATTGCTTACATCAGTATGCATCAGCATATGAAGTTTAATTCTAATTTAAGAAGAGTGAGGTCAAGGTCAAAGGTAAGGTCATGGAAAAAAAATGTTGATGCAGTTGAAAAGCCCTCATCAGTATGCATCAGCATATGAAGTTGAAAAAATATTAATGTTTTTCTTTAAAACTGACTTAATCCAATTTGATAAAAGTGAAGTCAAGGTCAAATGAAAAGTCAAGGTCAAACATAGGTAATCAAAGATTACGAAGCTCACCTCGACGAATGTTATCTACATGTAAGGCAAATTTCACATCATATTTTTTTTCTAGTTAGGGTACATCCCAAGATCAATATCCATGCAAGTTTGATTTAATTATAGACCTGCTCAAAAAACTTTTGACCTGTTTAGCAATCAAAAAAATTTTGGTCAGTTCCAACATCCAAAGCAAGTCTGGAAGTTTTCATCCTTAGATGCACCATCTATGCAAGTTTAATCATAACAGGCCATAATATTATATAGCTACTCCAAAAAAATTACCCTGGTCACTCATCTGGAAAATGTACGTCAGATTCAGAATCCAAGGCAAGTCTGGAAGTGTCCATCCCTAGATACATCATCCATGCTAATTTGGTTAAAATATGGCTAAAATTCACTCATATGGAAAATCTAGGTCAGATCCAGCATTCGAAGCAGGTTGGTTAGTGTACATCCCTAGATGCATCATCCATGAAACTTTGGTCCAGATAGGGCTTATAGTTACTTGGGAACGAGACTAATCCTAAATCTAAACCTATAGTTACTTGGGAACGAGACTAATCCTAAATCTAAACCTGGTCTCATCCATGCAAGTTTGGTCCAGGTAGTGCTTATTGTTACTTGGGAATGGACCTGCTCCTAAAACTTTAACCTGGTCACTCATCCGGAAAATCTAGGTCAGATCCAGCATCCGAAGAAAGTGAGGTAGTGTCCATCCCTAGATGCATCATCCATGCAAGTTTGGTCCAGGTAGGGCTTATAGTTACTTGGGAATGGACCTGCTCCTAAGACTTTAACCTGGTCACTCATCTGGAAAATCTAGGTCAGATCCAGCATCCGAAGCAAGTGTGGTAGTGTCCATCCCTATATGCATCATCCATGCAAGTTTGGTCCAGGTAGTGCTTATTGTTACTTGGGAATGGACCTGCTCCTAAAACTTTAACCTGGTCACTCATCCGGAAAATCTAGGTCAGATCCAGAATCCGAAGAAAGTGTGGTAGTGTCCATCCCTAGATGCATCATCCATGCAAGTTTGGTCTGGGTAGGGCTTATAGTTACTTGGGAATGGACCTGCTCCTAAGACTTTAACCTGGTCACTCATCTGGAAAATCTAGGTCAGATCCAGCATCCGAAGCAAGTGTGGTAGTGTCCATCCCTAGATGCATCACCCATGCAAGTTTGGTCCAGGTAGGGCTTATAGTTACTTGGGAATGGACCTGCTCCTAAAACTTTAACCTGGTCACTCATCCGGAAAATCTAGGTCAGATCCAGCATCCGAAGCAAGTGTGGTAGTGTCCATCCCTAGATGCATCATCCATGCAAGTTTGATCCAGGTAGGGCTTATAGTTACTTAGGAATGGACCTGCTCCTAAAACTTTAACCTGGTCACTCATGTGGAAAATCTAGGTCAGATCCAGCATCCGAAGCAAGTGTGGTAGTGTCCATCCCTAGATGCATCACCCATGCAAGTTTGGTCCAGGTAGGGCTTATAGTTACTTGGGAATGGACCTGCTCCTAAAACTTTAACCTGGTCACTCATCTGGAAAATCTAGGTCAGATCCAGCATCCAAAGCAAGTGTGGTAGTGTCCATCCCTAGATGCATCATCCATGCAAGTTTGATCCAGGTAGGGCTTATAGTTACTTAGGAATGGACCTGCTCCTAAAACTTTAACCTGGTCACTCATGTGGAAAATCTAGGTCAGATCCAGCATCCGAAGCAAGTGTGGTAGTGTCCATCCCTAGCTGCATCATCCATGCAAGTTTGGTCCAGGTAGGGCTTATAGTTACTTGGGAATGGGACTTGCTCCTAAAACTTTAACCTGGGACGCCGACGCTAACGCCGACGCCGACGCCGGGGGTATAGCATAAGCTCATCTCGACTTCGTCGAGGTGAGCTAAAAATAGTGACACAGATGAATTGCTTACATCAGTATGTATCAGCATATGAAGTTTAACACTAATTTATGAAATGAGATCAAGGTCAAAGGAAAGCTCATAGTCAAATGTTTATGCAGTTGAATAGCTCTCATCATTATGTATCAACATATAAAGTTTGATAAAATAACTTGAACTGTATCTTTTAGACTGAGCTAAACACTCATTTAAGAAAAGTAAGGTCAAGGTAAAAAAAGGTCAATGTCAAATGTTGATGCAGTTACATAGCTCTCATTGGTATGTATCAGCATATGAAGTTTGATAACACTATCTTAAATGGTATCTTTAAAACTGAGCTAATCACTCATTTAAGAAAAGTGAGGTCAAGGTCAAGGGAAAGGTCAAGGTAAAAAAATGTTGATGCAGTTGAATAGCTCTCATCAGTATGTATCAGCATATGAAGTTTGATAACACTGTCTTGAATGGTATCTCTAAAAACTAGAACTGTCCAAACGGGACAAAACACCCCCAGCTGGGTTTCTCGGAAGTAAGTTTTTCCATAATAAAGATATGTATCAAACAGGAATAATGAAATTTTTATTCCAGTGACCTTGAACTTCCCCAAATAACCTTGGGTCAAGGTCATGACACACCCTTGGGTCATGGGCAATCTTTCAGTGAAATGAGAACCTACCAAGTTTATCCATACAAAAGATATGGACCGGACATGAATCATGAATTTTTTCTACCAGTGACCTTGAACTTCTCCAAATGACCTTGGGTCAAGGTCATGACACACCCTTGGGTCATGGGCAATCTTTGTGTGAAATGAGAACCTACCAAGTTTATCCATAAGAAAGATACGGACCGGACACGAATTATGATATTTTTCTTCCAGTGACCTTGAACTTCCCCAAATGACCTTGGGTGAAGGTCATGACACACCTTTGGGTCGTGGGCAATCTTTGTGTGAAATAAAAACCTACAAAGTTTATCCATAAGAAAGATATGGACTGGACAGGAATTATTAAAATTTTCTACCAGTGACTTAGAACTTTCCCAAATGACCTTGGGTCAAGGTCATGGCACATCCTTGGGTCATGGGCAATCTTTGTGTGAAATGAGAACCTACCAAGTTTATCCATAAAAGATATGTATCAAACATGATTTATGAAAATTTTCTTCCAGTGACCTTGAACTTTCCCAAATGACCTTGGGTCAAGGTCATGACACACCCTTGGGTCATGGGCAATCTTTCAGTGAGATGAGAACCTACCAAGTTTATCAATAAGAAAGATATGGACCGGACACGAATTATGAAATTTTTCTTCCAGTGACCTTGAACTTCCTCAAATGACCTTGGGTCAAGGTCATGACACATCCTTAGGTCATGACCAATCTTAGTGTGGAGTAGTAGATTCTCATGGCCCTCTGTAAGAAAGATATGGACCGGACACGATTGCACAGACAGACGGACGGACGGACAGACGGACAAGGTGATTCCTATATACCCCCCCAAACTTCGTTTGCGGGGGGTATAATGAGCTAAACACGCATTAAAAAAGGGAGGTCAAGGTCAAATATGTTGATGCAGTTCCATAGCTCTCATCAGAATGTATCAGCATATGAAGTTTGCTAACAGTATCTGGAATGGTATCTTTAAAACTGAGCTAAACACTCATTTAAGAAAAGTGAGGTCAAGGTCAAAGGAAAGGTCAAGGTCAAACAAGAGGCCCATGGGCCACATCGCTCACCTGAGAAGCTTTGACCATTCTGTTCTATACCAGATTTCCCCCTTGTAATACATTATGTATCCCCACCCTACCCCACTGATCATAATTAAGACATTTTGAAATCAACTACCCCAGGATCCTTCCATGTGCAAATAAGTTTCAGCTTTTCTGGCCCAGTGGTTCTTGAGAAGAAAATTTTCAAAGATTTTTCCTATATATTTTTATGTAAAACTTTGATCCCCCCATTGTGGCTCCAACCTTCCCCTGGGGGTCATGATTTGAACAATTTAAAATCTACATTACCCAAGAATGCTTCCACATAAGTTTCAACCTTTCTGGCCCGGTGGTTCTTGAGAAGAAGATTTTCAAAGATTTTTTCAACATATTTCTATGTAAAACTTTGATTACCCATTGTGGCCCCGCCCTTCCCCCGGGGGTCATGATTTAATTTAGAATCTACACTATACCAGGATGCTTCCACATAAGTTTCAGCTTTCCTGGCCCAGTAGTTCTTGAGAAGAAGATTTTCCAAGATTTTTCCTATAAATTTCTATGTAAAACTTTGATTCCCCATTGTGGCCCCGCCCTTCCCCCAGGGGTCATGATTTGAACAATTTAATATCTACACTATCCCAGGATGCTTCCACATAAGTTTCAGCTTTTCTGGCCCAGTAGTTCTGGAGAAGAAGATTTTCAAAGATTTTTCCTATATATTTCCATGTAAAACTTTGATTCCCCATTGTGGCCCCGCCCTTCCCCCAGGGGTCATGATTTGAACAATTTAATATCTACACTACCCTAGGATGCTTTCACATAAGTTTCAGCTTTTCTGGCCCAGTAGTTCTTGAGAAGAAGATTTTCCAAGATTTTTCCTATATATTTCTATGTAAAACTTTGATTCCCCATTGTGGCCCCGCCCTTCCCCCGGGGGTCATGATTTGAACAATTTAATATCTACACTACCCTAGGATGCTTTCACATAAGTTTCAGCTTTCCTGGCCCAGTAGTTCTTGAGAAGAAGATTTTCCAAGATTTTTCCTATATATTTCTATGTAAAACTTTGATTCCCCATTGTGGCCCCGCCCTTCCCCCGGGGGTCATGATTTGAACAACTTAGAATCTACACTATATCAGGATGTTTCCACATAAGTTTCAGCTTTTCTGGCCCAGTGGTTCTGGAGAAGAAGATTTTCAAAGATTTTTCCTATATATTTCTATGTAAAACTTTGATTCCCCATTGTGGCCCCGCCCTTCCCCCGGGGGTCATGATTTGAACAATTTAATATCAACACTACCCTAGGATGCTTTCACATAAGTTTCAGCTTTTCTGGCCCAGTGGTTCTTGAGAAGAAGATTTTTTAATGACCCCACCCTATTTTTGTCTTTTCCTGATTATCTCCCCTTGCGAGGGGATATGTCCCTTCATTTTAAAAATTTAAATTCCCCTTCACCCAAGGATGCTTTGTACCAAGTTTGGTCAAAATTGGCCCTGTGGTTCTTGAGAAGAAGTCGAAAATGTGAAAAGTTTACAGATGGACAGACGGACAGATGGACAGACAGACAGACAGACAGACGGACGGACGGATGACAGACAAAATGTGATCAGAAAAGCTCACTTGAGCCTTCGGCTCAGGTGAGCTAAAAATGTTGATGCAGTTGCATTGCTCTCATCAATATCTGTCATCCTATGAAGTTTGATGAAAATATCTTGGTAGTTTCTTTGTAACTGAGTTTTGAACTGAGCTAATTGAAAGTGTGGCGGAAGGACAGACAGAAGGACGGAACGGTGGAGGGACAGAAGACAAACATGAACTAGAACTGTCCAAACGGGACAAAATACCCCCCGCTGGGTTTTTCAGAAGTAAGTTTTTCCATAATAAAGATACGTATCAAACACGAATAATGAAATTTTTACTCCAGTGACCTTGAACTTCCCCAAATAACCTTTGGTCAAGGTCATGACACACCCTTGGGTCATGGACAATCTTTCAGTGAGATGAGAACCTACCAAGTTAATCCATAAGAAAGATATGGACCGGACACAAATTATGAAATTTTTCTACCAGTGACCTTGAACTTCTCCAAATGATCTTGGGTCAAGGTCATGACACACTCTTGGGTCATGGGCAATCTTTGTGTGAAATGAGAACCTACCAAGTTTATCCATAAGAAAGATATGGACCGGACACAAATAATATTTTTCTTCCAGTGACCTTGAACTTCCCCAAATGACCTTTGGTCAAGGTCATGACACACCCTTGGGTCATGGACAATCTTTCAGTGAGATGAGAACCTACCAAGTTAATCCATAAGAAAGATATGGACCGGACACAAATTATGAAATTTTTCTACCAGTGACCTTGAACTTCTCCAAATGATCTTGGGTCAAGGTCATGACACACTCTTGGGTCATGGGCAATCTTTGTGTGAAATGAGAACCTACCAAGTTTATCCATAAGAAAGATATGGACCGGACACAAATAATGATATTTTTCTTCCAGTGACCTTGAACTTCCCCAAATGACCTTGGGTCAAGGTCATGACACACCCTTGGGTCATGGGCAATCTTTGTGTGAAATGAGAACCTACCAAGTTTATCCATAAGAAAGATATGGACCGGACACGAATTATGAAATTTTTCTTCCAGTGACCTTGAACTTCCCCAAATGACCTTGGGTCAAGGTCATGACACACCCTTAGGTCATGAGCAATCTTAGTGTGGAGTAGTAGATTCTAATGTCCCTCTGTAAGAAAGATATGGACCGGACACGATTGCACAGACAGACGGACGGACGGACAGACAGACGGACAGACAGACAAACGGACAGGCGGACAGACGGACAAGGTGATTCCTATATACCCCCACAAACTTCGTTTGCGGGGGGTATAAAAACACTATGTGCCATTCATGACGGGGCATAAAAATTGGTTTTTAGTTATATTTATCAATAAATAGCATACAATTGTGTCCCAAATTTATATTTAATCACATACTAAATGTTAAACTCCATGATTTTGAAAATTTCTTGTCAATAGCAATTAACCCTACGTCATTTTTTCTAAAATGATGTCATGTCAACAAGTTCATTTCAAACAGTGATTTGTTTATAACCTGCTCTGAGGGATTTAACTAGCAACAATTAATGCATTGGCAAGTTTTGATGTTATTGCGCTAAAAAAGTGTAAAACTGCAAATGATTTCTTTTTTCTTATATAAGGTATTGCTATATTTGTGTTATGTCACAGTAATCTTTTCCCATATAAATTAGGCTCCACCTCCTTTGTGCAGCCTTAAGAATAGAAGTGAAACGGTTCACCGCGGTATTGGTTCACTGCGGTATTTTTTCTCAGTTCGATACACGGTACAAAATCTCTACTTTTGGTTCGGTTAGTTTTTCGGTCCGGATCATCATTCAGTCGTGTTTGGCATAAGGTATATTTAATATGCTTTTCTGTATAATTAGTTCAGAAACGTAAGTTTGTGTGGACTTGAAGTTTGTAAAATAATTTTTAACAGTCAAATCAATTAAATTGATACATTCTATCTATTTGCACATAATTTTTTTTAACTATATTAAGTAAAAGGTAGCATAAAAAAACATTGAATCTGTTTCCTTCTATCAAAATGTATCGTATCGAAAATAACCTAACTGAGATCAAATTTTTCGATACGTATCAAACCGTGAAGGAGGCGTATCGTTTCACCCCTACTTAAGAATGCTGCATAGACTACATTTAAATATATAATCCTGCTGTGTTTGATTTTGATAAACAATGATGCCATGGTAACTAAAAACAGAAATTTCTTAAAAAATACTTTTAAAATCTTATTCCCTCTTACGATTTAGTTTGAATACAATAAATCTTGCCACAAAAGAGGCAAAACTAAGGATAATTATTCTATTTATTGTACTTTCAAGTCAAAGTGCTACTTTTCTCTTCCTTCATTTTAAATACATTTAAAGCAGTAAAGCCACAGTCTCAATCAACAGAGACTTCTGATTTACATCTGATATATTACATTACTGTCAAATTTAAAAATGATAATATTAACAAAATTACCTCTATTATAAATAAGAGTTCTTCCATAGTCTTTCCGGAATGATAATGATAGATGAGATCAGGTGTATTCCTCACTGTTTGCTTGTTAAAAGTGAAGGACCTCTCACATAAAAAACTAAAAGAAAATAAATTAAAGAGTGTCAAAAACATAACAAACTACACAAGAAGGGGAAGTATAAAGAAATTTTTAAGTATTAGTTTCTTAGATGTATAATCAATGCAAGTTTGCTCAACATAGGGCTTATAGTTACTTGGAGATGAGTCCTGCACCAAAAACTTTCACCTGTTCACTCAACCGGAAAATGTAAGTCAGATTCAGCATCTGAAGCAAGTCTGATAATGCGCATCCTGAGATGTATCATCCATGCAATTTTGGTCAACATATTTGGCTTATAATTCCTTGGAAATGAGACCTACACCAACAATAAGCCCACGGGCCTAATAGGTCACCTGAGCATCATGCAACAACTTTCAAATGATTGAATTTGGTTCATGTTTCAACTAGATGCTATGGCATTTACAATTCTAAAAGAGGCAGATTGCTAATCATAACTAGTCATATTGTACACTTTGTATATTATGAATAAAATACTTCTTAAACAAATCATATTGATACACTTAGCAATTGTTTAGTTTGTTTACTTAATACCCATAAGCAGGGCAGAGGAACAAAACATAGGTAATCAGAGATTACAGAGCTCACCTCAACGAATGTTGTCTTTAAGTAAGGCAAAGTCACACAATTAACCAACAAAAAGTATACATTCCAAAAATGAAAATATTTAAGCAATTTTGATCTGATACTTTGAAATAGACCTACATAAAAAATTTAAACTAGTTCTTCTTCATGAAAATGTTATGAAAATCCAGCATCTGAAGCAAATTTGAGAGTTTTCATCTCTTGATGCAGCATTTGTGCAAGTTTGGTTTAAACAATGTTATATAAGCCTTATAGTTTTTGGTAATAGACCTGCAACCATAACTTTTACCTTGTCTATTATCTGAAAAATGTATGTTGAATTCAGCATCCGAAGCAAGTCCATTAGTGTGCACCCTAAGATGTATCATCCATGCAAGTTTGCTAATTATAGGGCTCATAGTTTATTGGAAATGAAACATGCATCAAAAACTAACATTTTCACTCATCCACAAAAAGTAGGTCAGATTCAGCATCCGAAGCAAGCCTGGTAGTATGCATCCTTAGATGAATCATCCATGCAAGATTGGTCATTAAAGAACTCATAGTTCCTTGGAAATGAAACCTGCACCAAAAACTTTTACCTGTTCACTCAACCGGAAAATGTAGGTCAGATTAAGCATCCGAAGCAAGCCTGGTAGTGTGCATCCTTAAATGTATCATCCATGCAAGTTTGGTAAACATAGGGCTTAAAGTTACTTGCAAATGAAACCTGCACCAAAAACATTAACCTGTTCGCTCAACTGGAAAATGTAGGTCAGATTCAGCATCCGAAGCAAGCCCGGTAGTATGCATCCTTAAATGTATCATCCATGCAAGTTTGGTCAACATAGGGCTTATAGTTACTTGGAAATGAAACCTGCACCAAAAAGTTTAACCTGTTCACTCAACCGTAAAATGTAGGTCAGATTCAGCATCCGAAGCAAGCCCGGTAGTATGCATCCTTAGATGTATCATCCATGCAAGTTTGGTCAACATAGGGCTTATAGTTACTTGGAAATGAAACCTACACCAAAAACTGCACCAAAAATGTTAACCTGCTCCAAAAACATTAACCTGGTCATTCCTTTGCTGAAATTGCAGCATCTGAAACTTTGTCTGGTACAATGAAACACACTTAAACCATCTTCCATGCATGTCTAATCAATATAGGACACAGAAGTAATTAAAAAGAAAACTGCTCCAAAAACCTTAACCTTAACCTGGGACGCCGACACCGACGCTGACGCCGAGGGTATCACATAAGCTCCCCCCAACTTCGTTGAGGTGAGCTAAAAATGCATTTCAACTATTCAGTAAAATTCAGCAATAATTATTAGTGCCCCTACCACACATTAACCCCTGACCCTAGGTATACAATCTGCACAATTTCTGATAAGGCACACTTGCTTATCAAGAATGTTTGATTAATAATAAGGAGCAGATTTCATACAATTCATTTTCAGTATATAAGTAGAGCCCCCCCCCCCCCCCCCCCTTCTTCTTTCGTATCCCTGACCAAGGGGCCTTGAAATTTACAATTCTGGAAGAAGTGGCCTTGCACATCATAACTCCACATGGAGTTCATCTGCTTATTACCCAGGAGTAGAGAAAAAGATTTTCATAGATGTTATGTATTTTCACTATATAATCATTATAGAGCCATGCCTTAACACCAAAACCCCTGACCATGGGGCCATAAAATTCACAAATTTGGAAAAGGCACTCTTCCTCATCATAACTATGAACTTAGTTAGTTTATTTACTACCTAGGAGTGGAGAAGAAGATTTTCAAAGATTTAATGCATTTTCACCATATTATCAATAGAGCCCCGCCCTAACACCAGAACCCCTGACCCTGGGGCCTTAAAATTCAATAATTTTGGTAGAGGCACTCTTGCTCATCATAACTAAGTACTTAATTAGTTTATTTAATACCCAGGAACAGTGAAAAAGATTTTCAAGGAAATAATGCATTTTCACTATATACATGTAATCAATAGAGCCCCGCCTTAACACCAGAACCCCTGACCCTGAGGCTATAAAATTCACAATTTTGGTAGAGGCACTCTAGCTCATCATAACTATGTACTTAGTTAGTTTATTTAATACCCAGGAGCAGAGAAGAAGATTTTCAAACAAGAGGCCCACGGGTCTTATAGGTCACCTGAGTATTGTGTAACAACTTTCAAACAATCAAATATGGATCATGTTTTAAACCAGAGGCCATGAAATTCACAATTCACAATTTTGAAAGAGGCATCATTGCTCATCACAATTAAAAATACTCTACTTACTCAATACCCAGAGGTAGATCAGAGTTACAAAGAGAAAATGTTCTTCCACTTTATAACCAGTTCTGCACCTCACCCCAAAAGAACCACTGACCCTGGGGCCACATAATTCAAAATTTTGCAAATTTTATCATAAAATGGTTGATTAATACCAAAGAGCAGGTTTCAAACCATTAATTTATTTTCAGAATATGTACCCCCCCCCCCTTGGGGCATAAAAATAAGCATTTTGCTATATGCACCTTTCTTCATCATAAATATATATATTTGGATCACTGGCATAAAATTCACGATTTTGGAAAAGACTTGCTCATCATAACTGTGTGCTTAGTTAGTTTATTTAATACCCAGAAGCAGAGAAGAAGATTTTCAAAGAATATATGCATTTTCACTATATAATCAATAGAGCCCCGCCCTAACACCAGAACCCCTGACCCTGGGGCCATGATTTTCACAATTTCGGATAAGGCACTCTTGCTCATCATAACTATGTGCTTAGTTAGTTTATTTAATACCCAGAAGCAGAGAAGAAGATTTTCAAAGAATAGATGCATTTTCACTATATAATCAATAGAGCCCCGCCCTAACACCAGAACCCCTGACCCTGGGGCCATAAAATTCACAAATCTGAAAGAGGCACTCTTGCTTATCATAACTATGTACTTAGATAGTTTATTTAATACCCAGGAGCAGAGAAGAAAATTTTCAAAGAAATAATGCATTTTCACTATATAATCTATATAGCCCAGCCCTAGCACTAGAACCCCTGACCCTGGGGCCATGATTTTCACAATTTTGGTAGACAATTCAATGCTCATTACATTCATGGTAACAGTTTGCCTGCTTGATGTCCAGGAGTAAAGAAGAAAATTTTTAAAGATTGTAATAATTTTAGTGGTTTTGGCCCCACCCTTCAGGCCCCAGGGGGGGCGGGGACCATGAAATTCACAATTTGCATTCCCCTTCACCCATAGATGCTGTATACTAAATTTTGTTGAAATTGGTTCAGTGGTTTCAGAGAAGAAGCTGAAAATGTTCAAATGTTAACACACAACGCACGACGACGGATGAAAACGGATAGCAATAGGTCACCTGAGTTACTCAGGTGACCTAAAAATTAATGTATTTTCACTTTATAATCAATAGAGCCCCTCCCTAACACCAGAACACCTGACCTGGGGCCATGAATTTCATAATTTTGGTAGAGGACCCAATCTTGATTACAATTATACCAACAGTTTGACTGCTTGATGTCCAGGAGTAAAGAAGAAGATTTTTAAAGATTGCACTAATTTTAGTGGTTTTGGCCCCACCCCCCAGGGGGGCAGGGACCATGAAATTCACAGTTTTTGTTCCCTTTCACCCAAAGATGCTATATGCCAAAATTGGTTGAAATTGGTTCAGTGGTTTCAGAGAAGAAGCTGAAAAAGTTAACGCATGATGAACCATGCACTGTGAGAAAGGGGTGCGTATTTTACATCATAATGGGATCTTGAGAAGTTTTTCTTTCAGGTGAAACACGGCTATCTTACGTAGCACGACGCACGACATTGGCCGTTTTAGCCCCGCCCTACCCCCAGGGGTCATGATTTGAACAAACTTGAATCTACACTACCTAAGGATGCATCCATATAAATATGATCAATCATGGCTTTGTTATTCTTTAGAAGAATTTTCCTATATATTTCTATGCAAAACTTTGGTCGGCCATTGCGACCCCGCCCTTCCCCAGGGGGTCATGATTTCAACAAACTTGAATCGACACTACCTGAGGATGCTTCCATATAAATATAATCAATCATGGCTTTGTTTTTCTTGAGAAGATTTTTAAAGAGTTTTCCTATATATTTCTATATAAAACTTTGGTTGGCCATTGTGGCCCCGCCCTACCCCCAGGGGTCATGATTTGAACAAACTTGAATCTACACTACCTGAGGATGCATCCATATAAATATGATCAATCATGGCTTTGTTATTCTTTAGAAGAAGATTTTTAAAGAATTTTCCTATATATTTCTATGTAAAACTTTGGTCAGCCATTGTGGCCCCGCCCTTCCCCCAGGGGTCATGATTTGAACAAACTTGAATCGACACTACCTGAGGATGCTTCCATATAAATATAATCAATCATGGCTTAGTTTTTCTTGAAAAAAAGATTTTTAAAGAAAGAGGGGTGATCAAAAAGTTCGCAAACTATCTCTATATCTACAAAACCACTATTCAGATTAGAATGAAATTCGGTACTCACATAGCCATACACAAGGTCTATAAATAGCATATGCTGAATAAAGTTTTTCTCCTTGTTTGTGACGTCACAATGTGAAAATGACGTCACTATTTAGGTCACTTGTGACGAAAAATGATAACTGTACAATTTATTGTAATATCTGTAAATCCCTCTACAGTATCATATAATAATTTGTACACAGTTTATTGAGATAAATGAGTTCCTATGAATTCAATTAATGATTCGATTATTCGTTTTAGTGAAGGAAGGCTGATGGTTAAAAATGATACTTGTCATCTTGCCCAGTGAAAGCAAGTTTGAAAAGATATGTATTTTTAATTAAGCAATTTGCTATCAAAGACCTCCAATTAGCACTTTGAAAAATAGTTGAATATTTGAACAATGATATAAGTATTAAATACCTAAGATATTGTTTACTTTAGATTTTAAACATATAAGATATGATAAAAAGGATGCACCCATTCTCTATCCACCTTGAATAAAGGTCTCTCCTGAGACAGAAGATTTGTGTTTTAATGGTCGCCATGCTTATTTTTGGAAAGGACGTTATTATCCACCCTTTCTGTTGCCGAGATCTGACCATTTCTGACAAATTAACTGTTCTTGTCATAAAAATTAACTCACATGGGAAGAAATATAAAACTCGGAAAAATCTTTTAACTTTTGTGTCAGAACGCTATGGAGGGGGTCACGTGACCGCCAATATCACGTGATTCTCGCATGCACAGAACGGTGGTTGATGTGCATTAAAATCGGGGAGGATTAATTTAAAATATAATCAACATTAAAACCAAATATTGTTTCTTGTATGGAAGTTATTCAATTAGTTTGCAAACTTTTTGATCACCCCTCGTATTTTTCTATGTAAAACTTTGGTCGGCCATTGTGGCCCCACCCTACCCCTGGGGGTCACGATTTGAACAAACTTGAATTTACACTACCTGAGGATGTTTCCCCATAAGTTTCATTTTTCCTGGCACAGTGGTTCTTGAGAAGAAGATTTTTGAAACATACCACCAAATTTTCATTAATTCCCAAATATCTCCCCTAAAATGAGGGTGTGGCCCTTCATTTGAACAAACATGAATCCCCTTCACCCAAGAATGCTTTGTGGCAAGTTTGGTTGAAATTGGCCCAGCGGTTCTTGAGAAGAAGTCAAAAATGTGAAAAGTTTACAGACAGACAGACAAACGCCGTACAAAATGTGATCAGAAAAGCTCACTTGAGCCTTCGGCTCAGGTGAGCCAAAAAATTGCAGTTAAACATTCAAAGTTTTTTCTTGGTATCATCTAGTTCCAGATAAAAGATTTGATTGCATCAAGTGTATGTGTCCACAAGCACCGTTTAAGGTATTCAATCCCTAATGGGAACAATTTCAGTGAAATTGAATACATAACTGATATGTAGGCATTGAATATTCAGTTTATTTAGACATATTTCCCATTTATTACTATTAGTATGTATAGTGGAATCTGTCCTAATTTATGACCTTGAGTTTTGGAAAGAGTTATCTCCCCCTTTTTCAATTAATTAAAAAAATTAATTTAAAAAAATTTGGCCGGTAAAAAAATTGTTTTCAATTGTCATTCTATTTTTAATGTTTCAATGCATCGTTCCACCGCAGGATTTATTGATATTCAAATTATTTGAATTTTTATTTTGAAAAAACGCTTTTCAATCTTTGTTTATTAACTACTGCTTAATTAATGACATTTTAAAAACTTTCTCGCCGGCAATCCTTTTCCACTATAAAATGCTTTAATATAATATCAGTGTTTTATGAACTTGACGTACATTTAAGGGTAGAGAATTAGGTCCCATTAGGGATGGAAATCCTTAAATGAGCTGTGATAACAAGATTCTTTTGAAGTACGTCATGATTATCTGTTCTGCAAACATTTTCAATTAAGACAATATTTCATTGCAAAGATATTGAGAAATCACGACTACGGATTTACTTTAACTTTAAATAAGTTATTTTTTCAAATGTCAATATAAATGGATTAGGTTGTATAATTTTTTGGCATCATGAACTTAACATATACATACCCTTCTCTCAAAAAGAATATGTTTCCAAAAGCTCTGCAATAGTGCTGACAAATATTTTCAGTGGTACTCATATACTCTGCATTGTCATGTCCACCACGAGACCCTCCTCTAGCTCTTCCACCTCTATTTTTCCCTCTCTCCTTTTCCTGTGAAGCATACTTTGGTTTTTGAAATATCCCCATTCCTAATAGTTCAAGAGTTTCCTCTGCAAAGTCCCTTACTGCCACATTAAACAATGTAACAGTCTCCTTTACAAATTCCTCTGTAGCAGAATCCAAGGACCTATGGAATTTGAAGAGTACAGAAATATTACTTTTTTCTAGCTTGTCAGGCCAAGATTTTACAAAACATCAGTTATCAAAGATTATGTAGCTCATCTCAACAAAACATCAGTAATCAAAGATTATGTAGCTCATCTCAACAAAATTTATCTTTAAGTAAGGGAAAATCATAACTAAATTTAATAATCAAAGGTGTGTTAAGAAAGTTCGTTCCATGGTGAAATATTTGCAAAATTTTAAAGTAGTGATTAACTAAAGAGATGAAGTTTTCAGTCAGACAAAATAAAAAGATTGTACTTTAGATTTAGAGTAATTCATTTCTAGCAGAAAGTTACAGGGTTTTTCTTCAATAAGAAAAAAATATATAAACATCTTTATAGCACCCAAATGACAGAAATGCTGGTCAATTTGTGTGAAAATGTAGAATCATTTACATTTGTTTCTTCACAGCTTTTCTTGAATCATACAAGCTAAGGTATAAGATTTAAAGATTAATCACTTCTTAAAAGAATAGGTTTGACACAGTAAAATTCTTCACTGCCTTCATAAATTATGCATAGTATTTGAAACGATTTATTGACCTATGTATGTGCTTAATGTATGTCCCAAATATGCTGCATCCCTGATTTTTATGCACAGACATCATTTATTTTAATACCTGCCCTCCCCTTATTGATTCAACAAAGAATAGTTAAAACTTTATCAGTAGCAAGAATGGACTCTGAACATGAAATATTATAATTTTTAACAAGAGGCCCATGGGCCACATCGCTCATCTGAGCACTAAGGGTAGGAAAAAGTAGAAAATGGCTTTTTATTGTAAAGTTAAAATCCAAAAGTTTGGTCCCGCCCTACCCCGGGGGGTCATGATTTGAACAAACTTGAATATACACTACTTGAGCATGCTTCCATATAAATACAATGAATTATGGCTCTGTCATTCTTGAGAAGAAGATTTTTAACGAATTTTCCTATATATTTCTATGTAAAAGTTTGGTCGGCCATTTTGGCCCCGCCCTACCCACGGGGGTCATGATTTGAACAAACTTGAATCTACACTACCTGAGCATGCTTCCATATAAATATGATGAATTATGGCTCTGTCATTCTTGAGAAGAAGATTTTTAAAGAATTTTCCAATATATTTCTATGTAAAACTTTGGTCGGCCATTTTGGCCCTGCCCTACCCCCGGGGGTCATGATTTGAACAAACTTGAATCTACACTACCTGAGGATGTTTCCCCATAAGTTTCATCTTTCCTGGCACAGTGGTTCTTGAGAAGAAGATTTTTAAAACATACCACCAAATTTTCATTAATTCCCAATTTTCTCCCCTTGAATGAGGGTGTGGCCCTTCATTTGAACAAACTTGAATCCCCTTCACCCAGGGATACTTTGTAACAAGTTTGGTTGAAATAGGCCCAGTGGTTCTTGAGAAGATGAAAATGTGAAAAGTTTACAACGACGACGATAGACAACGAACAAATTTTGATCAGAAAAGCTCGAGCTAAAAAGGACTTAGAGAATTAAACTTAGCTCAATTATAATTCCAAACTAGAGCAAAGCTCGTTGCAAAGCAAAGAGAAGGTCTTCCTTCCTGTTTTGACCGGAAGTGACGTCAGCAAAAAGAAAGCAACGAGCTTAGTCGTCTCCACTCACTTCATAATTTCAATTTTGCATCAAAACCTTAAATAATAAGCTATTTTTGGCTACTTCCGGTTTGACCGGAAGTGATGTCGATGGACAGAAAATTAAGTTTTGTGCTTCTTGTGATATATGTTACCCAAAAACTTGTCAAGAACAGCAAAAATATGCATTTTCTGACTACTTCCGGTTTGACCGGAAGTAAAGTCGCCGGACGCATTTTGACGACTTCATTAGATTAAGCTTGACATTTTGAACAACATTGCTTCTTGGATGTATTACAAATTCTCAATACTTTTTGAGATATCTGGAAAAAACTTTTGACCCCTCTAGATCCCTTAATTTAGGGGTCAGCCCTTTTTTCGAGATATCATTCAAAAGATCTTGTAATTCTGCACAAATTTTGTTCTATATGTTTTAACAAAATATTTTTAGTTTAGAAGATAAAAAGCAAAATATGTGTTAATTTTCGTTCTTTTAAGTGTTCTAATTTTTGACCCCTATATAGCACCATTTTGAATAGAGAAATCGAAAAACAAAAACCACTATGCACAACTTCAATCGCAAAGTTCCCGACAGCCTCGTCATTGCGAATATTTCGGTAACCAATTATCTGCAAACCGGTACTTAAAGTCTCTCTGTCTATTTCCAACAGAACGAAAGAGGCCTGATCGCGAAAATTAATCGTCGCCAACTAGTGTACCCCTGGTAAATTGTGAAATAAAGTTGTCGCGAATAAAAGTTGGGGCCAAGCTTAAAAAAATCTTTGTTTGCAGTTGCCGACCTATAATTTTTAGTCTGGGTAGGTAGGTAGGCAATTTTTTTTTTTTTTTTTGAAAAAAAAAATTGTTTCCAGATTTTTGTTAGATAACATAAAGTAGAGTTTTTCATAGGCCTACTATACATGAATAAGCTGCACTCTTGGTATAAACTAATGATTGATGAAGACAAAAATTGAATATGAAACAGTTTTAATATCCTGAAAATTGGAGAGAAAAAAATAATATTACAAAATGGCTAAAAAAAAGTGGGTCGGTCGGCAACTGTAAACAAACAATATTTTATTTTAGGCCTGGTTTACAGTATATATTCTTTGCCGAACCTTGATTAGAACCGGAAGTCTCTGTCGAGACCGTAGCTCTATTGGTTTGTACTTATCAAAAACCATTGCACTATTTTATGTATCTTTGTGTAGTCTACTTGTGTGCCAAATTATTTTGAAATCAAACTAAAACTGTAGAAGGAGTAGCGTTTTAAAGGAATTTCACAGAAAATTCTATTTTTAGTAACCATGGCAACAACGTTCATCGAAATCAAAAACAGATGCACTATTCTATGTATCTTGGTGTAGTCTACTTGTGTGCCAAGTTATATTGAAATCAGACCAAAACTGTAGAAGGTGTAGCGTTTTAAAGGAATTTCACAGAAAATCCTAAGTTAAGTAACCATGGCAACACCGTTCATCGAAATCAAAAACCGATGCACTATTCTATGTATCTTAGTGTAGTCTACTTGTGTGCCAAGTTATATTCAAATCAGACCAAAACTGTAGAAGGAGTAGCGTTTTTAAGGAATTTCACAGAAAATACTATTTTTAGTAACAATGGCAACACCGTTCATCGAAATCAAAAACCGATGTACTATTCTTTGTATCTTAGTGTAGTCTACTTGTGTGCAAAGTTATATTCAAATCAGACCAAAACTGTAGAAGGAGTAGCGTTTTTTAAGGAATTTCACAGAAAATTCTATTTTTAGTAACCATGGCAACACCGTTCATCGAAATTAAAAACCGATGCACTATTCTATGTATCTTAGATAAGTCTACTTGTGCGCCAAGTAATATTGAAATCAGACTAAAATTGTAGGAGGAGTAGCGTTTTGAAAAATTGTTTACAGACAGACAGACACACAGATGGACGGACACCGGACGCATTACTATCGCATAAGCTCTTCTGGTCTTTGACCAGTAGAGCTAAAAACTAACTATGAAATAACTTACTTGAAATCAAATAGGACATCACATTTTTTCCATGTCATTTCCATGTTTTCCTTAATCTCTTTTTTTACTTTTTCTATCTGTGTTTCTCTATGCTCCTTTTTCACCAATTTTTCAAATTTTCTCAATTCATGCGTAAATGTTAAACTTTTTTCAAGTTCTTTTTTCAGAAAATTTGTTAGTTTGCTGGGATCAGGACAAAAACCTTTTTCATTCCTAAAGGCATCCTTTACATCTTTTATAAAGGTTTCCAAGGGATCTGGCATATCTTCGTAATAGATATTGAGGTATATGAGATCCTTATAGGTCCAATGGCTTGCTGAGAAGTTTCCTTCTTTTGAACTTGCAAGTTGACTTTTTGTGCAGCTTGAATCTGATTCATCACCACACTCACTCCATGTTCTAAACGCAGACAAACTTGATGGTGCATTTTTTTTCCTAGGCGGCAAGCTGGTTTCCTTACTAGAGCTTTGTGTTTCATCTTCCTAAAAAAAAGGAAAAGAATGCAAATTTCCAAACAACAGGCCCACTGCAACAATTAACACTTGATCACCTGAGAAGTTTAGTATATATGCTTCAATATAAATTATAGTAACACTATTACCAGATATCAAAGGTAAAATATAGTAAGTTTTGATTTATTGCTCTAAATGTTATCAAAAGGAGAAGATTTAATGTGCATTTGATATTGCTATAAATACATGAGGCCCAGGGGCCTTAATGATCCCCTGTGCATTATTGAAAATTTCTGGGATCCACAGAGTACAAACATAAGTAATCAGAGATTACAGAGCTCACCTCAACAAATTTTGTGTTTAAGTGAGGCGAAGTCCCATATTAAACTAACAAGCAAATTCAAGGAATTGTGGTCCCCCGCATTCGGTGTCTTTGTGGGTAAGATGTCATTTTTTTATGACATACTGTGTGTAATATGAACACCCCGTCATATATTATTTATACATAAACCATCACTGAACTCCAAGGTAAAGGTGAAAGGGTTAAAGATCTTGGTATCCAATGAAAAGTCTTTTCACAAGAATTACATATGTGAAGTATGAAAGCCCTAGCCCTTACCATTCAAAAGTTATGGTCAAGGTTAAAGTTTTTTCATAAGTATGAAAAATCTCCAAGGTCAAAAGGTCAAGGTTGTTCAGATAAAAGGAAGGGTCTTGCCACAAAGAATACATATATATATGAAATATGAAAGTCCTAGTATCTACTGTTCAAAAGTTGTAGCCAAGGTCAACATTATTGAAAAGTAAATTAAAATCCAAGGTGAAGGTCAAAGGGTCAAAGTTCTTGGTATGCAATGAAAGGTCTTCTCACAAGAATTACATATATGAAGTATGAAAGCCCTAGCCCTTACCGTTCAAAAGTTCTGGTCAAGGTTAAAGTTTTTTTCATAAGTACGGAAATCTCCAAGGTCAAGGTCAAAAGGTCAAAGTTGTTTATATCTTATGAAAGGACTTGTCACAAAGTATATATACGTGAAATATTTAAGTCCTCGTACATACCGTTCAAAAGTTATGGCCAATGTAAAAGTTAGGATTTTTTGTGTAAAAGTAGGTCAAACTCCAAGATCAAGGTCAAAAGTCAAATTATTGGTACCCAAAGAAAGGTCTTGTCACAAGGAATACACATGTGAAATATGAAAGTCATAGCTCCACTAAATCAAAAGTTATGGGCAAGGTTAAAGTTTTTGTGACGGACGGACAGACTGACAGATTGACAGACTAATGGACAGACGAATGAGATTTAATGTCCCCTCGCTTTCGCGAAAGCGGGGGACAATAATCTACTCTAGTAGTGTACATTCCATGATGTAACATTACTGCAATTTTGATCTGAAAGGGCTTGTAGTTACTCGGGAATAGATTTATCCAAAACTTCAAACTAGTCTCTCATCCACAAAATGTAATTCAAATCCGGCATCTGAAGCAAGTTTGAGAGTTCATTGTTGCATCATCCATGTAAATTTGGATCAGATAGACCTTATGGTTTCTTAGTAATAGAAATGCACATAAAACTTTAACTGGTCCATTATCTGAAAAATGTAAGTCAGATCCAGCATCCTCAGCAAGTCCATTAGTGTGCATCCTTAGATGTACCAGTCATGTATAGGGCTTATAGTTACTTGGAAATGAGACTTAGTGCACCAAAAACTTTGACTTGTTCACTCAACCAGAAATGTAGGTCAGATCCAGAATCCTAAGCAAGCCTGGTAGTGCGCATCCTTAGATGTACATGTATCATCTAAATATCTAGAGATGTGATGAACTGGTGTTTTTTTTAAATCAGTCTATAAAATTAATGACAGGTTTTAATTTGAAAAAAAAATTGTTTATACAGTGAAACTTCTCAAAACCAGCTCCCCTGAATACCGGTTTTCCCTCAATATCGGCCGATTTTAAAAGTCCTGGCAGAAATCTTAACATTCTTTTACCAATAAATTCTCATAATACCGGCCACCCCTGAAAACCGGACACCGGCCACTTTTTTGGTAACAAATTGTAAGAAACTTAGGTAGTTTCCCCTCATAATACCGGCCACTTTTCTTACCAAAATTTCTTTCATCAGCCAAAGGGTTGTAATCAGCAGATTGTAATGAACGGCCAAAGGTGTGAAAATGGTCGGAGATCGGAAGTGTGAAATTAGCCTCAAGGGTTTCCTAACTTGTGCTCTCGTGTGCATACAATGGCATGGGAATTGAACAGGATTGATCTAAGTTGTATAAACATACATGGAGTTTGGTGTTATGTACAAATAAAAAATTTAATGACTTGTAAAATATAAACAAGCCGTCGTCGCCATGTTTGTTGCATTCATACTGCATATTGGAGATAATCAGCCTTATAATTTGACAATGATTAAATATAAGCTATCCAAAATAATAAAAAAAATAATAATAGCATCATTCAACATTATTTAACGTTATAGTTGTAAAAAAAATTGTTCATGTTTATCATTTATTTGATTCTTGAATTTTACAGTTTTTGCTTAATGTCGTAAGCGACAAACACACAGCAGAAACGTAAATAATCATGCTGAATTCTCGGTAAACTTACGAAATGATGACTTTAAAAGAGTCTGCTGATATTCTTGTTTAATCAACTTGCTTGTCAATAATTTACCTCATTTTAGAAATTGTTAATACGTAGAGCATGCTCTTGCGTATCGAATCAGCTGAGATATATAAACTCCGTATGCAGGTGATGAATTAGATATATTGCTGCATAAGTAAGGGAAGTTGACGATAGAAAAGTTAAAGTCATCACGTCTACCATACAGCTTGGTTGTTAGATTGCCATTAACGTCTTTTTCAAGAAAAATCTATCATTTACAAGTCTATCTGATCATAAAAACTATAAAAGCAGTTTCTGTATCATACAATAAAATTTCTTGCACAATTCTCTTATTATGTCGCCCCAAACGAAGTCGGGCGACATATTGCAATTGTACGCATGTTTTTGTTCTCCAGTCTGTTTCTCGGAGATGGCTGGGACAATCTGGGATCACTGGTTGTAGTTGTGTTGTGTGGTCATTCAGTTTCAAAATGGCTACTGTTGCCATGGAAACCTGCAAAAAGTGACGAATTTTGTCCGCGAGTGTTCTCTCTGGTCCCTTGTACATTCTTCATGAAATTTTATATTTGTAATGATTAGTATTTGTAATTGTGCTCATTGGATTTAAAAATTGAAAATTGTCAATAGTTTCCATGGAAACAGGGGAAAAGTGAAAGTTCTTTAACTTTGATTTTTAAATCAAAATACTGAAAGGACTGATACGAGTTGCTGGTTCGGGCCATATACAGTCAATTCTCGAATTATCGCCATTCGATTCATCGCCATTTTCGCAATACCGCCATGATTTCCCAAGAACGTTTTTCCTGCTATATAAAATTCTCTTTATAACGCCAAATTCGCATACCGCCATCCGCCACCCTGTTTTCACAACAAACGTCCATTTTTAAGTGTCAATTATCTCGATAATACTGCCACAGGTGCATGTGGTCAGTGAAGCGGGGCTAATTGGTTGAAGCTTTCTCTGTTGTAAAGCATGCAAAGCCAGTCAAGGTACTTGCAATTAAGTAATAATTTAAGCATGAACTGTTAGAATACTTTTGTTTTCTGTTTAATTAAATCATTTAGTCAAGGCTTCGCCACGAAAGCGGTTGTTGGAAAGTACGCCAATAACGATATTATTTTGATGATCTCTGCTTTTAAAAACAATGCAAAGTTTGCTTTAAAGATTAATTATAAGTCAGAAATTGTGAACGTTTCATTAACAATGATTTCATAAACAATAAATTTATTCAAGAACTTATTTTACGTACTATAGGCAATATATCACGACGATCAACCAGGCATTTTTTTCAATATCACATGTGCAGATATGCATACACATGTACTTGACTTAATTTCATAACTAAATATTTTGTTTTAGCAAAATTGTACATAAAAAATTACTTGAAGTATTTTTGAATTTAGAAATATGTTAATATATACATTTACATGTGATAATAAGAATAGAAACGCTAAATGGTATTTCTAAGAACGATAACTCTACATCTTATTTCCTAAAAGATGGCAAATTCAATTCATCGCCAAATTCGTTATACCGCCATGATTTCTAAATAACAAAAGGTGGCGGTTTATCGAGAATTAACTGTATGCTATTGCTTGCAATAGCAGACTTTCTAGTTCTATTAACTTTTCAAATACATTATTTACAGTGATTAATTATCAAAAGTGAATTGCAAAGGGGAATAACTTCTCTCAGTAAACAGAGCCCTGGCCAGGCCCACTTGACCTAATGGTCCAAATGTTTAAAAATTTGAGAAAAAATATCCTTGCTTATTAAAACTTTTACTTTGATTTCCTTTGATATGCCAAGGAACAGAGAAGAATTTCAAAGAAATGATGCATTTTCACTACAAATCCAACACATGCAGCCCTACCATAACACCAAGCATAGGTAATCATAGATTACAGAGATCACCTCAATGAATGTTGTCTTTATGTTTATTCATTATTTATAGAACAAATCTGAAGCTTTAATATAGATTCTTAATCACATATTTAGAAGATATTGGATGACACCATGGCTATTCATAGAATTGAATGTTATCTTATGGATCGTTTTTTTTTTACTTGTTGTTGTTTTGTTTACTTGCGTTTTTCATTTCCGAGATTAAAGAGTGAAGATGTATCCCGAACGCAAATATCGTCATTTACAAAAAACAATTGCTGATGGGTCGACCTGGGTGTACTGAAATCCAATCAGAACTCTGGAAAAAAATCCCGATTTCTATGAACACAGTAGGCCAAGGGTTTATGAGGAGAGTAGCATATCAGAAACCCTTGGCTAGCGAAGATGTAGTAATACCTTGTGGACAGATCAGCGAAAATGCACTTCCGCTTTATAACCAGTTGTGCACCCCACCCCAAAGGAAGCACTGATCCTGAAGCCACATATTTCAAAATTTTGTCATAGATTTTATTTCATCATAAATGGTTGATTGATACCAAAAAGCAGATTTCAAAGCATTAATTTATTTTCAGACTATGTACCCCCCCCCCCTCCCTGACACAGGGGGCATGAAGATAAGTATTTTGCTAGAAGCACTTTTCTTCCTCATAAATACATATACTTGGATCATTAGCATAATACCCAGGAGTAAAGGAAAAGATTCTCAAAGAACTAAGGTAATTTCACTACATAATCAAAAGACCCCCTCCCTCTTTACACCGAATGGCAAAACCCCTGACACAGGGGCCATGAAATTCAAAAATTTAGTTGAGGCATTATAACTTTATACTAAATTAGTTTATCTAATACCCAGGAGCAGAAGAAGATTTTCAAAGAATAAATGCATTTTCACAATATATTCAATAGAGCCCTGCCCTAACACCAGAACCTCTGACCCTGGGGCCATAAAAAATCATAATTTTGGAAGAGACCCTTTTACTCAACATACTATGTCTTAGTTAGTTTATTAAATACACAGGAGCAGAGGAAAAGATTTTCAAAGAATTCATAGATTTTTATTATATAATCAATAGAGCCCTGCCCTAACACCAGAACCCCTGACCCAGCTGGGTCCATAAAATTCACAATTCTGGTAGAGGCACTCTTGCTCATCATAACTATGTACTTAGTTGGCTTATTTAATACCCAGGAGCAGAAAAGAAGATTTTCAGAGAAATAATGCATTTTCTCTATATAATCAACAGAGCCCTGTCCTAACACCAGAACCCCTGACCCTGGGGCCATAAAATTCACAATTTTGGTAGAGGCACTCTTGCTCATCATAACTATGTACTTAGTTGGTTTATTTAATACCCAGGAGCAGAGAAAGAGATTTTCAAAGAAATAATGCATTTTCACTATATAATCAATAGAGCCCTGCCCTTACACCAGAACCCCTGACCCTGGGGTTAAAATTTACAATTTTGGTAGAGGCACTCTTGCTCATCATAACTATGTACTTAGTTGGTTTATTTAATACCCAGGAGAAGAGAAGATTTTCAAAGAAATAATGCTTTTCACTATATAATCATTAAAAGCCCCGCCCTAACACCAGAACCCCTGACCCTGGGGCCATAAATTTCACAATTTTGGTAGAGGCACTCTTGCTCAACATAACTATGTACTTAGATGGTTTATTTAATACCCAGGAGTAGAGAAGAAGATTTTCAAAGAAATAATGCAGTTTCACTATATCATCATTAAAAGCCCCGCCTTAACACCAGAACCCCTGACCTTGGGGCCATAAAATTCACAATTTTTGGTAGAGGCACTCTTGCTCATCATAACTATGTACTTAGTTAGTTTATTAAATACCCAGGAACAGAGAAGAAGATTTTCAAAGAAATAATGCAGTTTCACTATATAATCAATAGAGCCCCGCCCTAACACCAGAACCCCTGACCCTGGGTCCATAAAATTCACAATTTTGGTAGAGCCACTCTTGCCCATCATAACTTTGTTCTTAGTTGGTTTATTTAATACCCAGTTCACTATATAATCAATAGAACCCCACCCTAACACCAGAACCCCTGACCCTGGGGCCATAAAATTCACAATTTTGGTAGAGGACTCAATAGTTATTACATTCATGCTAATAGTTTGACTGCTTGATGTCCAGGAGTAAAGAAGATGTTTAAATATTGCATTAATCTGAGTGGTTTGGCCCCACCCCTCAGGCCCCAGGGGGACAGGGACCATGAAATTCACAATTTTTGTTCCCCTACACCCATAGATGCTTTATGCCAAATTTGGTTTAAATTGGTTGAGTGGTTGCAGAGAAGAAGCTGGAAATGTTCAAATGTTAACATACGACGAACGACAAACAACGCACAACGACGGACGAAAACGGATATCAATAGGTCACCCGAGTTTACTCAGAATTTATGCATTTTCACTTTATAATCAAAAGAGCCCCACCCTAACACCTAAACCCCAACCCAGGGGCCATGAAATTCACAATTTTGGAAGAGGCAGCTTTATTCAACATAACTAGGCACTTGGTTAGTTTGTTTAATGCCAAGGAGCAGAGAAGAAGATTTTCAAAGAAATAATTCATTTTTGCCATATAATCTTTATAGCCCTGCCCTGCCACTAGAACCCCTGACCCTTGGGCCATTAGATTCACAATTTTGGAAGAGGCAGCCTTATTCAACAGAACTAAGCACTTGGTAAGTTAATTTAATGCCCACAAACAGAGAAGAAGTATTTCAAAGAATTTATGCATTTTCACTATATTTATAATCCATATAGCCCCCCCCCCCCCCCCTAGCACTAGAACCCCTGACCCTGGGGCCATGAAATTTCACAATTTTGGTAGAGGACTCAATGCTCAATGTTCCGTACCAACAGTTTGACTGCTTGATGTCCAGGAGTAAAGAAGAAGATTTTTAAAGATTGCTAATTTTAGTGGTTTTTGCCCCACCCCCAGACCCCAGGGGGGCCGGGATCAAGAAATTCACAATTTTTGTTCCCCTTCACCCATAGATGCTATATGCCAAAATTGGTTGAAATTGGTTCAGTGGTTCAGAGAAGAAGCTGAAAATGTTCAAATGTTAACGAATGACGACGGACGAAAACGGATAGCAATAGGTCACCTGAGTAAATTCAGGTGACCAAATAAACCTGTAGGCACCTTTCATATTCAAGATCTTGACCTTAATCTTTTGTCTTAGGGTGAAATTACAACAAACATATATCATGTATATATTATTCTTACCAAGCTTGCACTTTTTTCCTCTTCAAGATCACTTGCTGTTCTTTTCCGAGATCTCTCAGCCTCAAGGGGCTCTGATAAGTTAGAGGACATATTTTATCTACAAAACACAATAACAATTCTGTTGGAATACTTGATCAGAACATGTACCTTTACAATCTCTCCTACCAAGTATAAATTAAGTGCCCTGCCAGCATGATACACCCATCAAATATTGTTCAACTATCTTAAATAGTTTTGAGTGCAAGAAATTCATGTCAACCTTGATTCAAAGATTCTGTGATTTTTCCCTTTCTTATCATATTTGATGTTTACACATCTCCTGTAGTGTAGACATTAATTATAATAAATATTACATTTCTCAACTGATTGTGTGAAACCTTGACAAATGCCCATTTGCAGCCCCCCTCCTTCCATTTTTGTTTGATATATTCAAAAAAATTAAATAACAAGAGGCCAAGGGGCCACATCGCTCACCTGAGCAAATTGGCTAGGAAAAAGCACAAATCAGATCATAACTGATAAGTTTACTGAAGGGGGGGAGGGGGGGGGGAGGCTTGAATTTTAATACTACTTGAGAATGCCTTCATATTAATACAGCATATGGCTTTGCTGTTCTTGATAAAAAGCTTTTTTTAAATCATTTTCTTTCTATATATAAAACTTCATAATAATTTGAATTTGATTCCCCATTGTTTCCCTCCCTACCCCAAAGGGCCATGATTTGAATAAATTTAAATCTTCAATACATAAAGATGCTTACATGTCAATATGACTAAACATACCTTTTCTGTTCTTGGGATTGTTCCCTTTATTTTTCTTCACTACCCGAAAATGCTCCCATATAAATACTAGTATCACTAATCATGGCTTTGCTATTCTTGAGAAGAAGATATTTTTAAATATATTTTCATGTAAAATTTGGATCCCCCATTGCGGCCCCACCCTATCCCTGGGGGTTATGATTTGAAGAAACCTGAATCTACACTACCTGAGGATGATTCCATATAAATATCACTAATCATGGCTTTGAAGTAATTGAGAGAAACGATTTTAAAAGATTTCCCTATCTAGTCCTATGTAAAACTTTAATCAGCCATTCTGGCCCCACCCTATCCCCAAGGGTCATGATTTGAACGAAGTTGAATCTACACTACCTGAGGATGATTTCACATCAAATTCATTTTACCTACAGTACCGACCGGACACAACCTAACAGAAAGCGATCCCGGAGCGGACCCTGGGTTCGCTCTCTGGGTCCGCTCCGGGTTCGCTCGGGGTCCGCTAGGGCTGACCCCGAGCGAACCCAGAGCGGACCCAAAGTGAACCCGTAGCGGACCCAGAGCGAACCCGAAGCGGACCCAGAGAGCGAACCCCAAATTCAGTAGCGGTCCCAGAGAGCGAACGCGGGTTCGGTATTTCTTTACAGAGCAGTCAATCAGGATTAGCGATTAACCAATCAGCGCATCAACCAATCGAAATAGCATATTGATCAGCAGATTGGGCTATAATAAGATCAATAAGATATAAAATCGAATGTGTTGATTTAATTTGATATAAATCCAAACACTGTACATACAAGCAAAACGTGTGAATGTGCTGTGTACATATATTATGATAATTAAAATATTATTTAATATCTATTTATTTTAATTCTTCGGGTTTTATTTTATATTTACATATTTAATTTCTATTTTTAATAAAGCAATTAATTAATAGTATATGTTTTAATTTTCCACGTAGAATTATACATGAATATTTACGTTATTGAAGTGCCATTTACATAACTGAACGAATTAATTACGCTAATTAATAACGACATTTAGTAAATCGTACATTGTTTCATTCTCTCAAAATGGCGTAACTATACTTGACAAAGAATACTCAGAGAAATATAATATAGAAGGGATATTCTAACATGTGAATTATGATCTATTATAAATTTTGAAATGTTTAAGGAATAATTATTTTTGAAAAATTAATTAATAAAGGAGTAAGCAATACATAGTTTTGTGGGTTGTTCGAGAGTTGGTAACACAAAATAACTGTAGAGTTACACTTAATTGAAAGAATAATCTTGTTAAGTATCATCAGGAATTGGGTCTAATTCACGTTCATTCTGGTGAAGTCATTCAGTTTGTTAATACCATGAGGTCGGAATGACTTTAATCTGTGCATCCAGAAGGAAGATTTTCATATACACGCATTTTTTAATGCCCAAGAAGATCAAGAAGATTAAGAAGATCAATAATTTTGATGTAAATTTTTAATTTAATGTAACACTTAAATTGAGAAATCATAAATAAAATAATTAAATAATTAGATTTTTTTGGAGACAATGTGTGTGTGAAATAGAGGGCATATATCAATATATTCTTATTGGGTCGGGAGAACAATTATTATTTGCCGTTTTCTTTCTTTTGATAAAAATCATTCTCGCTCCAAAATTCTGACCGTGAAAAAGATCTAATATACAGTGTAATTTTTTTTTTAGAAAATGTCCGGTAAATATTTATTACGAACTTTAATTGTGTAACTACTATAAAAGAAATCTAAATATATTGGATGTACAAAAAGTTACATGTAATTTATAGATGCGGTATCATAATTCGGGTGTTAAGCAAACATTTAAACTACGATTTAGCAAAACGTAAGAAATAACAAATGTATTTTTTTTTAACTATATAAAGTATAAATTTAAAAGGTATTTAGTTTAGATTTCTTTCGTCAGTTTCACTTGTACACCTTTCGATACACTAAAAATCAATTCAACACTCTTTCCTTCCTCTTCTTTTTTATTTTCTCGTTATAACTTAAGAAAAATAAATGCCTTATAACCCGCTGTTAAATTAGTTTGATCGAGAAATCAAGGAAATCAATTGATCATGTACATGTAAATCTACGTCGAATGTACAGTTGAATTTTAGAAAATTTATCAATGTTTTCCATTATATCACTGTTTACATGTACAGTGTACATGTCCGCATCGTCGCATAAACAACAATGATCGATCCACAATACCATAACTGTATTGGAATATACAAGGGGCGGGGCTTACTGGCGGTGAGATTAAAGTGGTGTCCGCTTCACGCATCAGTGCGTAAAGCGGTCCCAGGAAGCGAACGCCGGGTTCGCTCTAGCGGACCCAGAGCTGACCCCGAGCGAACGCGGAGGGAACCCGGAGTGCACCCAAAGCGCACCCGGAGCGGTCCCAAAATTTCTGAAAGCGAACCCGAAGCGGACCCCGAGCGAACCCGGGAGGCGAACCTGGGGTCCGCTCCGGTGTTAAGTTGTGTCCGGTCGGTACTGTAGCCCAGTGGTTCTTGAGAAGATGGTTTTTAAAGATTTTTCCTACATATTCCAATGGAAAACTTTCATCGGCCATTGTGGCCCCACCCTACCCCCGGGGGTAATGATTTGAACAAACTTGAATCTGCACTACATGAGGATGATTCCACATGAGTTTTATCTTTCTTGGCCCACTGGTTCTTAAGAAGAAGATTTTTAAAGATTTTCCATGTATACTCCTATGTAAAACTTTGATCAGCCATTGTAGCCCCACCCTACTCCCCGGGGTCATGATTTGAAGAAACTTGAATCTACGCTACCCGAGGATGCTTCCACATGAGTTTCATCTTTCTAGGCCCAGTGGTTCTTGAGAAGAAGATTTTTTTAAAATGCCATTAATTTTTCACGTATTCATATTTATCTCCCCTTGGAAGAGCGCGTGGCCCTTCATTTGAACAAACTTGAATCCCCTTCACCTAAGGAAACTTTGTGGCAAGTTTGGTTGAAATTGGCGCTGTGATTCTTGAGAAGAAGATGAAAATGTAAAAAGTTTACAACGACAACGGACAAATTTTGATCAGAAAAGCTCACTTGACCCTATGGTGAAGGCTCAGGTGAGCTAAAAATATCATTGTAAACAATCAAAATAGTTTTAACAATTAAATCTATACCAAATTAATTTTGAAAATAAATCAAATGATGCTATGAAATGACAGGAAGTTCTTCGGTCTAATTTCCAAAGGATACAGATAAGAGCTGCTTGATCAGAGATTGAAACAATCGTTCAATAAGAACTCATACAATAATAGTAAGATTATTCTCTGTAGCGATCATTGTTTTTTCATTATGAACAGACATTTCCTGAACTGGACTGCTGAACATCAATGTAAGTATTCAAATGTTGGAGCGAGGCAAAACTCTCTTGACCAAACAGCTTCTAGGTCATTGCACGTCACAACATAGCAATAGGGTGGGCCGTTCATGTAATAATTGCAGTTCAATTCAGAATATTCCTCTCAAATGTAAATAAAAGTAATAAACAACAATGTTAAAAAGTTCACTGGGAAATGAACTTAGTTGGTATGTGATCAAATCTACTGAGAAGCCCTTCGGGCTTCACAGGATTTGATCACGTGACCAACTCAGTTCACTTCCCAGAGAACTTTTTAAACATTGTTGGTTATTTCTTAAATGTCATAACCATGATTACAGATACAAATCTTTCTTTATTTCATTGTGGCAATTATTTTATTTTAAATCTTTGTGAAAATAAGGTATTAAAGTATAGAAAATTAAAGCAGGATAATTTTTCATACACAGAATTCTTTTTACTAGCTATTTAATAAGCTGCAGACACTTAGACTCTTCAGTATTCCATATACCTAAACAATGTAAATGTTTTTAATCAAACAAATGCTACAATAAACATGATAAAGCAACAATTTTTTTTTTAATTAAACCTTTATTCACAGCATACATGTACTACAAAAATGGAGGAAGTTTAGGCCGTGTGCTACTCCTGTGATTTTTTTTTTTTAGCAAAATGGGCTCCTAAAAAGTGTCATATTGAGAACAAATGAAACAAGTCAAAATATGCCCAGATAGGTCCCAGAAGCCACCTCCTGCAATGTCAGAATTAAAAATTTACAGGGGGAGGACCCCCGTACCCCCCTGCTTGCTGAGAGGGGGGAAACCCCCCTTGGGCCGTTGGCCCTCAGTTCGGGTCTTCGAAGCTCAAGTCTGAGGTGCCACCTACTTTTTCTTTTTCTCCACCTACTGTAGAAATTAATGAGAACCCTGCAGATGCGCAAAAACAATTGAAGTGGACATCAGATTCATATCAAAATTAATCCCACCATATGGCATGCCTAAACAAAGTCTAAAATTATGCATCTGCTATGAAATAGTTAATGAGAAAACTGCAACGATATGTATTAAACTGACAGACGCACAGACAAACAGGAAGTTGACATCGGATTTGAACAAATAAAGTATCCCATCATATGGCATGCCTTAGGGAAGATTGTGCTAAAATTCAAGCATCTGCAATGAGTAGGGCTGGGACGATATATCGAGATATCGAGAATATCGATTCAATGTGAGGATGATACGCATATCGATACGTATGAAGAAATATCGAAATATCGCAAAAAAAATTTCTGACATGTTTTTTCTTTGTTTGTTTAATATTTTGGATTAGATATATAAAAATTAATATGCAGAATATAAATATAAATATGAAATACATAATAATAAACCCCACTTGTGTAAAATAATTTTGTTTTACAACAGATATACAACTTCTTTGAATAAATTATTCTCATTTGTGAAGAAATGTTTTGTTCATTTCAATACAAAATTTTTTTTAATAACTAATTCAACATATCGTGATACATATCGTATCGTGGCTCAAATATCGTGATACGTATCGATATAGAAAATGTTGTATCGTCCCAGCCCTAGCAATGAGTAGTTGCTAAGAAAACTGTGACGAAAAAATGTTATATATGAAACCGACAGACACACAGGCAAACGGGCTCTGCCCCGGACCCGCTTGGGCTCTAAGGCGGCCCCCAGACCTCTCGCCAAGACTGGTTTCCTGCTATTCCATCTATTTTTCCTTATATAGACGAATTTCACATTCCTAAGAGTTATCTCCCGTTGTCGGCGTAACGCTCATTTTTCCCACTTTGTCCTTTGTAAGTTACCTGTTAGTATTATTAAAATTCAAACGTTATATGACAATTTTGATTTGTACCTGTATTGCCAGAGTATGGGGCAACATGAAAAACATCATGAACATATTCATATAGATTTTATTTCAAGGATACTGACCCATAAAGTTGGTAAGGTTATAGAGGGAAAACAGCGTCTTACGCCGGCTGACCCCGGATTGACCCCGCGAAGGGGAATAACTTTTGTAAATGTGAAAGTCGTCTATTGAAAACCTTATTGAAAACGCTGAGCGAGTGAGGGTAGGGACGAATTTAGGATACACGATCACGACGATATTGTTGTAAAAAAAAACAAAACATATTGTTATCCAAAAGAACTAGACTATCCTTACCTTTGAGAAACTTATTTAGCATAAATTTACACGTGTTTGACACTTGATGGTCTAAAGTTAAACAAAGAAAACTGCATGGACTGTGATCATGGCGATGTAGTTCCTGTGAACGAGATTGAAATTGACAACTCGTACTTAAACTGATTCGTACAGTAGCATTTAACAGAAATTGGTTACTCAACTCAAATTAAAATTTAACTCGTACACAAGGTTTATTTAGAGACACATTATACATCTCTTGTTTTTTTTCGCACCTTCATACATATAATTTTTCCAGTTCTTAGATAATATCCATTTTTTTTTTATGTTTACAATGTCAGTGTGTACAGTGGTGGATCAAGGAATCTAGAAAAAAATTAGGGGCAGTTTGAGGTCGGGGTAGAGGCTAAAGAGTATCCATCATTTTTTTTTTTATTGTACATAATTGCTAAACTTTTTTTAAATAGAACTATGTATAAAAAAATCATGTTTACACCTATCACAAAAGTCATAATTATGTTTGGTTTTATTTACATTTGTTGAAGTTGTACTATATTATTTTAACTTAAAACAACTGATAGTAACAGACTTTAAAGACTATTTCATTTCCAATTACAACACTGTTACAAAATTCACATTTAACCTCACCCCCCCCCCTTTTTTTTCCAACATCCCACATCCAAAAACAATATTACCTATTTCCAGGGAAATACAGTTCCCTTATTAAAATTAGTATGTTTATTAGTGCAAAAGAAAGCATGTTGTTCATGAGCTATGTCCATTTTTATTATGCCCCCGTAAACAAAGTTTCGGGGGTATATAGTTTTTGTCTGTCTGTCTGTCTGTCTCTCTGTTTGTCTGTCCGCAAAAACTTTAACCTTGCCCATAACTTTTGATTTAGTGGAGCTAGGACTTTCATATTTCATACATGGGTACCACCAAATTTGACCTTTTAACCTTCACCTTGGAGTTTGACCCACTTTTACATGAAAATTTTAAAATTTTACTTTGGCCATATCTTTTGAACAGTAGACACCAGGACATTTATACTTCACATATGTAATGTTTGTTAAAATACCTTTCACTGGATACCAACAACCTTGTCCCTTTGACCTTGACCTTGTAGATTTCTGTACTTGTGAAAAAACTTTAACCTTGGCCATAACTTTTGAACGGTAAGTGATTAGGGTTTTCATACTTCATATATGTAATCCTTATAAGAAGACCCTTCATTGGATACCAAGAACTTTGACCATTTGACCTTGACCTTTGAGATTGACCTACTTTAAAAAAGCAAAACTTGACCATAACTTTTAAAGAGTTAGGGCCAGTGCTTTCATACTTTAAATATTTGATCCTTATGACAAGACCTTTCATTTGATAACAATAACTTTGACCCTTTGACCTTGGAGTTTGACCTACTTTTTAAGAAATTGAACCATAACTTCTGAATGGTTAGGTCTAGGGCTTTCATGCTCTACATAATTATTTTATGTACCCTACTTTTGGTACCAATTAATTAAATTTGCATTTAAGAAAAGCTTCATCTTTGCTATGTTGCAATACGGGGGCATCAGTGTTTTACAAACACGTCTTGTTTTCTTCAAGAAATTAATTGATATTGAATTCATGGACACAATTAAAAGCCCCCCCCCCCCCCCCACACACACACACACACACGCACACAACCTTTCCTTAAAATGTTGTGAACACATACAATTCAGATTTTTTTTTTTTATTTTGTTGTGAACACATTCAGATTTTTTTTTTTTATTTTACAAGATACTCAAAATTCACTGACAATACATTTTCCATTTTCATACCAGATGATATTATGCAGAGCCTACATAGAGGTGTTAAACACATGTAGTGAAACAGTCAGTTTCAATCAATTATCATAAATGTGTTTTTCCCTTTATACCAGATCATGCAGATGATAATACACTGGCATGTTAATTAGATATGTATATACAGTGTAGCAGCATGGAGCTTCAAATAGAATTTTTATCTGAATTTATCTGTATTCTTATCTCACCACGTCCTTATTAGTTTTTCCTGCAGGTACTTGCGAACACATGTATATGTTGGTTTTTTTACCATGTTGACAGACATCATAAGACATGTAGAGTAATATTACTATAATCTTGATATAATGCTTTTTATGATCAAAAATGAAAAAATAAATTAAAAGAAAAATAATAGCTATAAACATGAAGAAGTGAATTTATTCTTGATCATAAAAAAAAATCAAAGGTAAAATTACTAAATATGTCAAAATTATATTGTACAGTTTATGTTTAAATAAGTTTGAAATATGTGCAAAAAATAAATCTGGTATCGGCTCAATCTGATCCAGCTAAAAACTTTTTTTTATAACCACCAGAAAACATTTTTAGGCATTCCAAAATAATATATCTCAAATTGAATTTTCAGTATTGATATTGAAATTTTCTTTGATAAATCTAATCACACCTACATGTATTACACATCTCATTTTCTAACCATGACACTTTTTTTTTACATACATGTACAGTGTATATCCTTTTGCATTTATATAAACATATTATCAGGCATATAAAATAATACCTGATACAGATAATATCTGCAAACATAAATATTCATGTTTTTGTGTAGTAATTAATTTTCTTTATGCAAATACAATTCAGCATTTTACTTTGAAAAATTAGACTTGTGAAAAAAAAGTACTAGTATTTAACAGAAAATTGTGTACATGTATATATATATATATATATATATATATATATATATTTCAAAGTGGTCCATGCTGTTTTAAGTACTGAAATAATCAATTAAGGTATTGTAAAGCTATATACATGTATTTGGTTTCCAAAATTTTTCCAAAAAAATTGAAAGATTTTTGAAAAACACCTTTTTATTCAGAATGTCATTTTTTGGTCTATATACTTGACCTTTTGCCTTTCTTTAGCTTCTCCACACAATTATCACTCTACCAATTTCCGGGAACAAAACATTGTGAGTTTCATTTTCCATCCCCCCCCCCTTCCAGGGATGGGGGTAAAAGCATTAAAATCTAGGGAATCTTCTAAATTCTTTACTACTGGACATCAAGCTATCACACTGCTTGCATAGCTGAATTTATGAATTGAATAATCATTGACCCCTCTAACAAAATTAAGAATTCATGGCCACAGAGCAAGAGTTTCTGGTTCAAAGGTTGGGATTACTAGTACATTTGTATATTGATGATAGTGATCGAAATTGTCGTAATTCTTTGTAAATCTTAATTCTCCTCTGCCTCTGGGTAAAGAGCATGTTTATTTTTGACAATCAAGGGTACCTCTTTAAAAATTGTGAATTTTATGCTCCTCAATTTAAATGCAATTAGATGCAATAAATTTTAAGATTTAAGATTGATTTTGCAGTGATTCTTTACACTATAGTGTAAATGCTGATTTTTTATCACATCTTTCTGCTAATTTTTATAAAGTATGAATATTTAATAATTTTATTGGACCCCCAACTTTAATACTTTAATTTCAAAACTGTTGGTGAAAAAATATATATTGAGAACTGCTAAATTTGACTTTGGGAAACCTCCATCATTATCATTTTTTTTTATTCACTAAAATGAATTGACTTTTTAAATATAAAATATTTAAATTGCAGTAATTGATATATACATTTAATTATATAAAAATTTTGTTCTTCAGACAGTTTAAAAAAATTTCACAGAAGATGCCCCAGCTGTAACTATGAGAGCTATGTTAAAGTGATGATTTGTAAAAATTGTGGATTTGTATTTCCCACAAAAACAGTGGACACTGACACTTTGATTATGAAAGGAGAGAAATCACGGGAGGGGAGTAATACCCATTAAATTCTAGAGAGAATGAGGAGAGATGTTTGTAAAATTATGTTTTATAGCAATCCTTTTGCACTTCGCACCTTTATAGTATGTATTTGTCTCATTATTAACCTGATTACATGTATTCAAAAACAGATTGTCAAGCTCTATGGAGCAGGAATTCATGCCTGTCTGCTGTTCACCACAGTTGATAATCCTTTGAGGCAGAGTAGTGGATTCAAGGCACAGAGCCCATTGGTGCAAGAAGTATTGGCCAAAAAAGAATTCTCCTTTTTGGACCTATGCACTAAAGCTGTGAAGGGAGTCTACTTAAAAGGTTTGTGTTATTGTATTTTGACTTTGTGAATTCTTAATGTTGAATTTACCGGCACTGTGATGTTTAATAATATGCCCTTTTTAGCACTGAGGCAATCATTAGAAATATTTTTGTTCGATGTACTCCAACTTACATTTTTCAAGGTGGGTAGGTAGGTAGGTAGTTTTTTTTTTTGTTTTTTTTGCTTGACAGTATTGATATCAAGTTGATGTTGTCATAAAAATTCACAGACTCACAGAAATTTATTTTGATTTACCTTGGCTTAAAAATGCAACAACTCTATTTCTATTGAAACTAAATTAAAAAAAAAAAAAAATTCCAAGTGCTGAAAAAATGATTATAGGTAGAGGTGATTTTGATGGGTTAATTGGAGTATATGAAACAAACCATTTTCATACCTTCCTTTGAAGAAAAGAGAGCATAATGCTTTGCTGCTGTCTGTTGGTTGTTCTGTCGGTCGGTCAATCATCAGTTTCCGTTCATTTTCTCAGCTAAGGTTGTACATATTGAGATGAAATTTGGTTTATCAGAAAAATATCTAGGTCATATGTACAATCAGGCCATTTTGATCAGAGTCATGCCCCTTTGACTAATAAAAATTCCAATTATTTGCAGTTTCTGTTCATTTTCTTTGCATAGGTTGCACATATTTAAATGAAATTTCGTATACAGATTAATCAGAAGAATATAGTTAGATCAGGTCATGTTTTGGGTACTATTGGGTCATTTTGGCAAGAGTTATGTTCCTTGAACTTAGAGAATTCCAATTATTTAGGGGAGGGGGGCATAAGTGTTTTACAAACATCTCTTGTTCTTAGGCCTGGTGTTAAAGATTGATGAACAATTAAGCTGAACATAAAAAAATATTTAAAATTTTGGCAGTAAAGTATTAGCTTTAAAACGTGATAATATAGTCACATAGCTTGAATTTA